TCTACTTAGTTTCTTGATTTATTCTGATCTTAGCTTAGACACCAATTCCTTCAAGAAATTTTCATAAAGGCTAAACTCTATGGTCTTTCTGTGGGTTCCAGTAGCCTCTGTGTTTCATTAAATTGACCTGTAATAACTTGTTTCCTTTTCAGAATCACACATTACACACACATAATTGAGAACAGAAAATGTTTCTGACGTCACCATTTCCTTTCTTAATGCCGAACATAGTGACAGACTCATTGTAAACATCAAAACATATTCGCTGATGAACTGACTTATGAGATGAAGCTACCCTAGAAGACAAATGATAAGAATAATCCCGTCGTGTCATCAAATATGACAGGCTTATATCAATAGTGCATAATTGTTTCATAAGTTACTTGATAGTCTGTGGTTCTAATATCGATTACAAAACATAATATCTTTGGATTACTGTCGGGTACTTCTAACTCTGTAAGTAGAGACACTCATTAAGATAGAGACATTACTTAATGTCTGTACTTATTGGAACCAGGGAGAGTAAGGCATACAGATATACTTCTGATAGGTCTAGTTCTAATTGAAATTATAACGGTTCCCCAAGCAGGTTACTAGAGGGCTTTGAAAGTATCAATGAGAGGACAAGCAGGTTTTAACTTAATTTGACTACCTAGTTCTTAGACACAGATTGAATCGGTCTTAATTGACCCCGTTGACCTAATGTTATTATCATTTAATCACAAATAACTTCAGATATTGGTTGACCTCATATTTAACACCTAGATTTAAATCCAAAATGTCACGCTCATTTGTTTATTTTTATTTATACTAGTAATCCTTGTTCTAGAATAGCAAGAAGTGCAGCTATGTTTGTTCTTTAACAACTTACTTGAAGAATACTCAATTTTACTTTTACCATTATTTGTCTTTGCCTCTCCTCCCTGGGCTGCTGCTGTTAAAATTAATTTGCATTTCAGACTTCAGGATTTTATACTGCTATTAGAGTTATGAAATGTTTTTACTCAGCACAACTAAGAACTGATGTTTTACCTCCCACTAATGGACCTTTAATTAGGCACTGTAATGAAGCATTCTGTCATTCCTTCTTTTATAGACAGAAGGTTTTGTATATGCAAGATACAATTTTGACAGAACACCAGGTCCGCTGAACCTTGTCGGCTTACATCTAATAGATCCCACATTTATTACGCTTTTGTCAGCTGTTGAATTTGTCATTTTAATGACATTGTCCACAGACTTATTATGCTGCCAAAAACAGCATCACCATACTGCAAGAATGTTTGTTGACATCTTGATCAACAACTCCTGGGGTCCAATTCTGACTATAATATTACTACTTCGGGACCTTGAGCAAGTTATTTAACCTCTGTCTAAGGATTAATTGGTTAATTTTAATAAGTGCTTTGCAGTAAAAGGTGGGAAGCGCTCTGACTACTAATAGTGATAATAAAATTATAATGCAGCTCTTTATAAAGCATCAGGCTATCTCAGACTGTGATTCTATTAAGTTGTCAATTTAAACATAAGCTAACTGAATTTATTCTTTGGAAGGATCCAAACTGTTCTACAAACTAAGGCCACATGGTGTTTTTAAACTTAGTTTAAAAAGAATTAAGAATACTGTTGTTTCAACTAAAGAAACATAAAAACAAGGGGGGGAAATGACATGTTCTATGCTGCTCTACCAATTGGGAACCAAAAGACAGAGGAGAAAATATTAGCTCTAGTTGAACCACATATAGCTACAAGATCGTGGAACACTGATTAAATGTAATTTTACATTTAATGTAAAATGATTTTAAATTGATTGTTCTTTTGTTAACATTTATTCAAATCATTTTTTAAAATGTATTTATTTGTGTGATTCTTTGTTCCTTTGTTCATTTGGCAAGTGCCATTGTTGGTTGTAGTCTCAAAAAGATCCCAGACAAGTAAGGGTAATGTACATAATCAATAGGTAAAAATGATCAGAGTCAGAAGAGGAGGGAGAAGTTGATTCAAACTGAGAATTCGAACAATTTCAAAAAGAAAATGGTGTTTAAGTTGGGCAGAGTCAGGGAAGCTGGCTATATAGGGAAGGGCAATTGGTGTGGTTTTACTAGAATAAAAGAGAGCCTGCAGACCTAGGATGGGTAGTAATAGGGGTCTTCATTAAGTGGGATAGTAGTGTTGTCCTTCATTGGCATGGAATCATTTGGGGTCTGACAATGGTGGAACAGAAAGCAAACACACATGAGCTCGTGGGTGGAAGTTGTGTTGGGATACTCTGCTGTGTTGAGAGGAGGGGAATGAGGGTGGCAGAGATGTGAGCAATGCGTGAGAAAGGATAAGGTAGTGTTATAAAACACTATAGGGATGTAGGGATGTCACCAGATTGTATTTTCATATAAACTCTGGCCTGTGGTGCACATCATTTAAGAAATAAGTGAGGCAATGTGAAAAGGAACATTGGCCAGGGGAGGGGCATCTACATATGTCAAGGAAAGGCTAGCCTAATACGGAAAGAATAAACATTTGGAAAATAAATCAGCTACTTAAAAGTAAATGTTTTCTTGCTTCTGCAGAAGTGGCCCCTCTGTACCATCAGAGGCAAGATACTAAGTATTACGCTTGATTCTCAAATAAACCAATGATTATAGCTTGACTCTGTGCTGTACCACGTAGTTCCTAAAATGACCAAAGACCTAGGCCACTCTCTGTGAAAGTTCAATGATATTTAATGTAACTTTTGGGGGTGTGACCTGTGACCTGAGCCCTAAAGCTAGATGGCCTGGTTTGAATCTTGGCTCTAGCAAATGCTGAATACGTGATATTCAGAAGTCTGTTTATCTTTTTCTAGTGTCCTCTTCTGTAGTGAAAGTAAAAACAATATCTAGTTTATTGACAGGATTAAATACATTAATAAAATAATGCTAAAAAGGAATTAATTACAAGTGTCCTTGGGTGTAGAAAAATCTCAATAAATGTGAGTATGATATAAAGCAATTTTATTGTGAATAAAATGAACTATGACTGACCTTTTGAGAATGGATACTAAGGGGCAAAGAAAGGGAGCATGGAGATCCATTACTAACAATCCAGGAAAGAGATATTGGTAGAATGGAGTGGTGAGAAGTATTCAGATGCTGAGTATATTTAAAGGTAAAATTGAGAGTGAAAACAGGAGATTAAAAAAAAAGGGGGATCAAAAAATTCAATTATTTTGGTCTGGACAGTGAGTACATTTTCTTTTAAAGAGCTAGAAATGACTATAGTACAGATTAAACATCTCTAATTGGAAAGTCTGAAATGTAAAATATTCCAATATCTGATACTTCTGAGTGCCAACATGATGCCACAGTGGAAAATTTCACACCTGACCTCCAGTAATGAGAGCTAAGATTAGTAAAAATAATATATAAAATTACCTTCAGGCAGTGTGTATAAAGTGTAAATGAAACAGGAATATTGTATTTAGACTTTTGCTCCATCCCCAAGATACCTCATACAGATGGACATATTCTAAAATTCAAAAAAATCTGAAATCCAAAATACTTCTGGTCTCAAGCATTTCAGATAAGGGAAACTCAACTTGTTGAAAAATCTTGGGGTAAAAACAAATCAGTTTACATTAGAATGATAGCAAGCTGTCAAACAGACAATTAGATATAAAAACCTGTAATTCAGGAGATAGGTTAAGCTGGATACGTAAATTTACAGTCATTAATATTTGGATGATATTTAAAAAAAAAAAAAACCCATGCAATTGGATGAAATTGTGGAGGCAGTAGGTCTCAATTTTGGTTGCATGTGTGAAACATCTGAAAGATTTAAATAATATAGATAACACAACACAGGCTAGGGGAATGAAAATCTTTGTAGACAATGTTTTAAGAAGGATGAAATGATTAACTGCTGAAAGTAGATGTAAAATAATAATTGAGATTTGATCATTACATATGGCAACATGGAAGACATTAACTAAAATCAATTAACTTGACTTTCATAAAAGATGTTTCAGCAGAACAGCAAAGACAAAAACTTGACAGAGGTGGGATCAAAGAAAAAATATAAATAGAATAATTGTGGATAACAACTATATTTTCAAGTAAGTCTTCTGTTAAAAAAGCGAGAGAGGGAGAGAGCAGAAAAATAAGGTTATTACAAGAAAGAGATGGGGCACAAGTGAAGGTTTTTCCAGAAAGAACTTGGCAGACAGGAAAGTAGTTATAAAGCAGGAGAAAGAGGGGACAGTTGTGGGAGATGTGTTCATGAGTAGCCAAGAGGGGTCTGGACATGAGATGGATAGCATAGGATTAGATGTAGCCTGGGGTTCCTAGTAACAAAAAGAAAGACAAATTCATGGGCATAGGAGAAGGAAGCTGGGGGGATGGGCTAATGTGAGTTTGTGGCAGCTCTCTTTAGATGGTTTCTATTCATATCAATGAAATATAAAGCAAGTTTCTCGGCTGAGGGTAAAGTTGGGGAGAAAGCATTGGAGGTTTCATGAGAAGGAGGAGGTGTGACATAGACATCTAGGGGAGTGGGAGAGTCAGTGGATTAGGGAACTGCATAGAAAGGCTTAGTAAGTGCCCATTTGAAATTAGTGATAGAATTAAAATGAGACCAAGCAATATAATTATGTGTTTTTCTTCAGTTGCATTCATCTATGGGATGTCAGTTCAGGAGAGATGGAGAACTGGATTTAACTATGGTATGGTTTGCTAAGAAGTGCAAAAGAGGGGAAGAGAGAGGAAGGGAGATGAGGGTGTACACAGGGAATGGTTATAATAATGGACCATGGAATCAAAGCTGAGGGAGGAAGAAAGATAAAATCTTTACAATAAGAGAAAGGTGAAGAATGGGTAAATAATTGTTAGAGTGACAGAGACTGAACCTGAAAAATAGGAGATGGCTAAAATTAAGATAATGGAAGGAATGGATACAGGAAATCAGAAGATTAATGTTTACATAAAAGCATGCTTCCCAGCTGGCTTCTGGGTGCTGCTTTTACTTACAGTACTGACACCTGTCTCCGGTGTATTCCGGCTGGCAGTGGCAGTAAGGCTGGTTTCCAGCAGTCACAATGCAGGTTCCTCCATTTTGACAAAAATCCTCACAGACTGTCTTACCACAGTTTGGCCCAGTGAAACCTAGCGCACAGCTGCAGGTGGGTCTCCCTGTTCGAAACAATAAGTAATAAAAAACAAATTATTTGACTGAAACAGTTTATTTTCAAGGAATTTGCATGGGATAAAAGTTGAGAAGCCAGGTTTCTGGTCAAGGTCTGTCCACGATTTACTCTACAGGCAGTAACAAGACTTCTTTGGGTCTCAATTTTTCTTTTTTTTTTTTTTTTTTTTTTTGAGACGGGGTCTCGCTCTGTCGCCCAGGCTGGAGTGCAGTGCCTGGATCTCAGCTCACTGCAAGCTCCGCCTCCCGGGTTCACGCGCCGGAGATGGCGGTGACCCGGGAAGGCGGAGCTTGCAGTGAGCTGAGATCCGGCACTGCACTCCAGCCCTGGGCTAACAGAGCGAGACTCCGTCTCAAAAAAAAAAAAAAAAAAAAAAAAAAAAAAAAAAAAAGAGAT